ATTCATCTTTTGGAGGAAGGAACTGATATTTTGTACAGAAATGTTCGTAATTTAATATGTAACCATTAGTGTCCATTAAGTGTATAATAGACCAAATATTCTTCTCCATCCAATCTTTGTAGAATAGTGACTTATTGCGATGTAGAATAAATCTATTATTCCATATGATAGAGGAGTGTGGCGAGTAGTTATGAACATATATCATTTTCCATTTTTTCTACAATGTTAACTGTGCTTTATTGGGGATTTCCCTTCCTGTTTAGTTGGGCTGTCCCAATTGGCTGATTATTGGTGGGTCTATTTAAGGGGCACACTCCCAATGGCTTAGGGGTCTGCTTGGAGAGACTGGTTGGAGAAACTGCTCTTGAAGGTCCGCTTAGAGAGACTATATTTAAAGTCAGCTTGCTGTGAGGCTGTCAGTGTTTTGTATTGCCTGCAATGGCCGGTTTTGTTTTCTTTATTTGAAAGTATTTTGTTTTTTTTGTTTTTTTTTTGTCTTCACCGTTGCACCAGTAAACCGCTACACGCTTTTGAACTGGAATTTTGTTGTCCGCTGGTTCTTACCACCTTTTTGCAAGTCATCTGCTTACTCCTCCTCTGACGTGAGACGGGAGCTGGTGAGCCGTTTTCTCACAAATACCAAATTCAGTCTAATTGGATGGGAATCTACATTGCATTTGACGCACCACTACAAGATGAATTGACAGATTCGGCGGTATTAATTCGCGGCAAATCATTGCACATTGGTGGCGGTGGCGTTAGCATAGTAGTATGGACGACGAGATGATTGAAAATGAACACAACGGAGATCTAGTCCTATTGGCAGACATCCATTTAAAATGTAGGCAACGGCATGAAAAAAGTGGTTTCTACTTTTACTTTTATACTTTAAGTAAATTTACAAGCCTGTACTTTGTTACTTTTACTTGAGTAAAGAAGTTTCATCAGTACTTCCACTTTTACCAGAGTATTTTTTAACACAAGTATCTGTACTTTTACTCAAGTACGGAAAGTGAGTACTTTTGCCATCTCTGCTTAATTTTGTAAAAAAAAATATTCTTTAAAGAAACTTTGGCTATATGATTATTAACTTAAAAGTTGAATTGACTATTAATGAAGAGGCTAGGTGAGTAAAATATAGGTACAAAAGGAAACACATGTTTTAAACATTTTGGTTTGTTTATCCTAATATGCTTTTCTTTAAAAACATCCATTTTAAAAGCTACTATTCCTTTCTTTTCCAACCAATTTTTGTAGTTATTAGTGTAACAGTTGCTGCAGGCATTATACAATTGAACATTTTTAAAATTTGTTTAGTTCCCTGAACATATATATCTTTATTAGTGCTATAACTTATGATTATATTGCAAATTGATTAATCTATCGATTATTTTTTCGATAAATCAATCAATAATCGTATAGCAAAAGGTTCCTTAAAGAGAACTTTTTGCAAATTTGAACCAGTTGAAAGTAAAGCTTTTCCACTTTAGGAGTTCTGGATAGCGCATATTGACAGACGAAAAAGATTTTTAACTTAAATGCAAAATGGTTACATTTTTTTTCATATAATAACTGCTCTTAGTGGGTTCCTCTTTCAGCTAAATGCATGTAGTAGAGTCTCTACACTTCAGTTAATGATTTATAGATTACTAAATTAGTTGACAATTATTTCAATAATCAATTAATCAGACTAATTGTTTCAGCCCTAATCCCTGTCATCTTTCTAAATCACCTTGTTTTTGTCTACTTTTGATATAGCAGCCACATTGCTATATACTGTGAATGTAAAAGAATGTAATAATGTAAAAAAAAAAAAAAAAAAAAAAGTGGAAACCTGTACCACTTACAACCGTCAGGAGTTGACTGCTGTGGTTGCATTCATCTAATATTTTCCAATAAATGCCAATGAAAATATTATTAAACATCATATAAAGAGGAACTTGATTTACAATTCTTTTTTTTTTTTTTACTATTCTGTTTTGTGAATAATGTTTTTACCTGTTCTTTTTTGCAAATTGAACTTTTTTTTTGCAGAGCATATATAGATTAAAACAAATAAAACAGTAACCTGTACTCTTTAAATTGGATGTTACAAACAGCAGCACAGTCATTATTAAAAGACTAGGAGGAAGGTGTTAGGAAATGGTCTGAGGTTACCTGGTCTGCTCATTATTTACTTTGTTATATTCATAACTACAGGGGGAATGCGGATCAATGCGCATCCTTCTGTGCTTTTACATCTCCTCGGAGCTGAATAATGTATTTGATTAAAGCCACTGAGGCAATAGTCTGGAGTTTAAGTATGTGGTTATAGATGGAAAGACGAGTGCACTGATGAGTTATTACCAACATTAAAAAACACACAGCTAACTTACTCTTTATTTTTGACTCCTAAAATCAGATCCTTCATCTAAATCTCTCATGTTTGTTTTAAACAGACAGCAATCACTGCCTGTGGGGTGATTCCATTTACCTTGGGTGCAGGTTCAACCCACATTTAAGAAAAGGTTTTCTCAGTTTATAGGTACAGCAGCGAACAGCTCAACCAATGCTTATATCATAGCAGAGATGTTGGAGGGTGGAGTTTTTGAAACACCCGAGAAACGGAGAAGTTGAAAAACCAGTTTCTTAAGCAAAACCATTGCTTCATGAAATTAGAGGCAAAATTACAATCTTTAATGTAACTTATGTAAGACATCCCCACCAATCACTGGGCAAAGAGCGCAGCAGAAGATTCAAACTGTAGTAACCATCAACCACCACTAGGGGAGAGAGACTGATCAATATTTTAAATAATCAAATTTTCAAGTTTTTGTTGACTCTCTAAATGTGTTTATGTTTTGCTTTGTTGCTCTAGTTTAAATTCAGCCCTCATACAAGTTAGTTTCTACATCCTCCATGGAAAATTCCAATATCTTGAATTTGGTCTGTCTCATGTTTCGAAAAATACAGGGAGCCTCATAAAACCACCTTTACCTATACACACTTTGTGTATGTAATCAGAGGGTAAACCACAAATTTTCATTTAGCAGTTTTCACAGAGTGCACAGAAATGAACATCTCTTCTCGGGTAAAACCAACATGTAAGGACCTGCTGCACTATTTACAAAGCAAAAATGTTTGCAAACTTTTTCATAAGAGCTCTGTAGTCTCAAACTCAGCCTCTGCCAACAAACCAGCTGCAGCCTGGCTGCACATCCAATGTGTTTGTTTACAGAAACAAGAAACAAGTATTTTATCTGACAGCTGAGCCTTTTAGCAGAGGCTGGCTGTAAACTACCGACTCGAAACAAATTTAAAAACAATTAATAACGTGAATTGTATCGACAGGATAAATGGGTAGGTCATAAAAGACAATAGCCCAGAATGTAAACTGGAACAAACCTTTTCAGTGTTATTAATGGAGGACTGGTGCATTTTTTTAAGCTTTAATGCTACCTTTGATTTGATCTGCAGCACAGTAGGAGGTGAAGCAGAGCTTCTTCTCTTTAAATATTTGTCTCTATTGTACACCTGCAGACGTTTCTTTCAACCTCTGCATGTTTCGTCTATTCTTGTTTGTCCTGTTTATGGCGTCAGCAAGTGAGAAATTGCTTCTTTGCAGCTTTCAGATCTAAAAATAGAATAAATGTTTATTTTTTAAAGATTTCTTTCGATATATTGCTTATTAAGTGGAGCTCCAGAACATTTTTGAATCACAATCATCAAAGTATCAATGCATGCACAGTGATGGTCATTAAAGCGGGTTCTGGTACTTTGGGCCATGTGTTCAGTTGCCAAGTCCTGCTGCAAAACGAAACCAGCTCCTCCATAAATCTTGTCAGCATCTGTTTGACAGCTGGAGTGGCTTTGATCTTGATAAAACTTATTTGTCCAACACCAGCAGATGTCAAGGCTTCCTAAAACTACGTGGCAACTTACCCTTAAAGCTCTGTCTCAAGCAGCAGTCCGTACTTTTCTGAATCTCTCCCAAACTCTTGAATGCGCTTTACAGTTTCCTTAAGAATGTTTCTAACACAGAATGGGTTTAATGTTATTTTCCTTCCATTAAATTTCCCATGAATCTTAAATAAATAAATTCCTGTGTGAGAAAAACCAGCCTTTTTCTGGTCTGTTGTCTTTATGATGATTGCTGGTTAAAACCCCTCTCACCAGTCTGGTGTAATTAGTTGTACACTACAGTCATGAATCAAAGCCTGATAGTCACAAATGTCAGTATTTTTTATTTGAAATACTCTAATAAATGTTCTGATCAGTAAGTTTAATCACTATTTAGTATTAGATGCATTCAGAGGAGCATGTAGTAGGATATAGGTTTAATATAATATATTTTTTTGGTACCATAACTAAAACTCAGCTTGCCAATAACATTTTTACCATCTTAGATGGATTTTTAAGTCCTTTACACAAACATATGAGGTTCATCTTAATAACCATGATGTGAAAGTTCAGAGTTTCTGCTTAGAGTAAAAAAGCAATGACTGTTTTTTTAAGTACGTAATAAAATGGGAGGTCTTCCGTGTATTAACTAGATCCTTTCAGATCATGTCTTAGTATTCTTGTCTAATAGAATTAAGTGTTTTAAAATAGTTTAGACTATTGTCAGTCTGACCTCTAAGGGATTAATCTCTTTAAGGTATGCTCACCTTTATTATTGAAACCACATCCCTCATGCAAAGCCACCATCTCAAAATCAGATTTGTTTCCCCTCTTTTGCAGGTGTTTTGCACCTCTCTGTTTGTTGGGACTAAACAATTCAGATATGACAAATTAGCAAGTTTGTTTCCAACAGAATCCCACGACTGTGATTTTTACATTATTTAGTTACTTCCCGGACTAACGTGAGATTGTAATCATGAGGTGGATTATTGTAATCAAATGATTGCTCCAACAAATGAGCTGCGTTCCTACTGGAAATATAATCAGGATAATGTTTACTAAAAATAGCAGGTGTAGACCATGCCTCTAACCGCATCACCTCTGTGGCTTCTCCTCTGCAGGCTCGATTTTCTCCTGTGGTGTCTGTGTGGAGCGTGCCACACACCCACTCCACAGCAAGACGGCTTTTGCTTGCATCTTCCAGTGTTTCTTCTGTCAGCAAGTACAGCAGAGCTGCAACTCTTCCAGTGCCAGCCCTGACACCAGCGAGGAGCCCTGCCCCACTGACATGGTGAAGATGACCAAGTCGAAGACCTTCCAGGCCTACCTGCCATCTTGCCACCGCACATACAGCTGCATCCACTGCCGAGCACACCTGGCCAACCACGACGAGCTCATCTCAAAGGTATGACCGCTCTGTTTTAGTTTGCACCCCTCGACACTTCCTATATAACCTACCCACCAACTGCCACTGCTTCCATCGATCTTCATGCAGACAGAAAATAGCTTGAGGAGTTTTCTTTTTTGCAGTTGTCGTTCACATCACACTGCAGCCTCATTTGGTGCCATCAGGGCGCTCAGCTGGAGCAGAATAACAATGCGTACATGTGACACTCTTGAAATACTCCCACCAGCTGTTAGTGCTGGCACTTGACTTGGAGCTAAAAATGAAAGCAGTGTGATGTAGCAAAATTAGGTGATGTAGGTTACTGTGACACAGCTGAGCCGTTTTTAGCCGTGCTAAAATGCAAAGCATGGTGACGTGAAGATACAGGTGCTGGTCATAAAATTAGAATATCATGAAAAAGTAGATTGATTTCAGTAATTCCATTTAAAAAGTGAAACTTGTATATTATATTCATACATTACATACAAACTCATATATTTCAGATGTTTATTTTGTTTAATTTTGATGATTACAAATGACAACAAATGAAAATCTCAAATTCATCATATCAGAAAATTAGAATATTGTGAAAAGGTTCAAAATTGATGGCCCCTGGTGCCACACTCTAATCAGCTAATTAACTCAAACCACCTGCAAAAGCCTTTAAATGGTCTTTCAGTCTAGTTCTATAGGCTACACAATCATGGGGAAGACTGCTGACTTGACAGTTGTCCAAAAGACGACCATCGACACCTTGCACAAGGAGGGCAAGACACAAAAGGTCATCGCTAAAGAGGCTGGCTGTTCACAGAGCTCAGTGTCCAAGCACATTAATAGAGAGGCGAAGGGAAGGAAAAGATGTGGTCGAAAAAAGTGTACAAGCAAGAGAGATAACCGCACCCTGGAGAGGATTGTGAAACAAAACCCCTTCAAAAATGTGGGGGAGATTCACAAAGAGTGGACTGCAGCTGGAGTGAGTGCTTCAAGAACCACCACACACAGACGTATGAAAGACATGGGTTTCTGCTGTCGCATTCCTTGTGTCAAGCCACTCTTGAACCACAGACAGCGTCAGAAGCGTCTTGCCTGGGCTAAAGAGAAACAGGACTGGACTGCTGGTGAGTGGTCCAAAGTCATGTTCTCTGATGAAAGTAAATTTTGCATTTCCTTTGGAAATCAAGGTCCCAGAGTCTGGAGGAAAAGAAGAGAGGCACTTCATCCACGTTGCTTGAAGTCCAGTGTAAAGTTTCCACAGTCAGTGATGGTTTGGGGTGCCATGTCATCTGCTGGTGTTGGTCCATTGTGTTTTCTGAGGTCCAGGGTCAACGCAGCCACATACCAGGAAGTTTTAGAGCACTTCATGCTTCCTGCAGCTGACCAACTTTTTGGAGATGCAGATTTCATTTTCCAACAGGACTTGGCACCTGCACACAGTGCCAAAGCTACCAGTACCTGGTTGAAGGACCATGGTATCCCTGTTCTTAATTGGCCAGCAAACTCTCCTGACCTTAACCCCATAGAAAATCTATGGGGTATTGTGAAGAAGAAGATGCAATACACCAGACCCAACAATTCAGAAGAGCTAAAAGCCACTATTAGAGCATCCTGGGCTATCATAACACCTGAGCAGTGCCACAGACTGATCGACTCCATGCCACGCCGCATTGCTGCAGTAATACAGGCCAAAGGAGGCCCAACTAAATACTGAGTGCTGTACATGCTCATACTTTTCATGTTCATACTTTTCAGTTGGCCAACATTTCTATAAATCCTTTGTTTTTATTGGTCTTCAGTAATATTCTAATTTTCTGATATGATGAATTTGAGATTTTCATTTGTTGTCATTTGTAATCATCAAAATTAAACCAAATAAACATCTGAAATATATGAGTTTGTATGTAATGTATGAATATAATATACAAGTTTCACTTTTTAAATGGAATTACTGAAATCAATCTACTTTTTCATGATATTCTAATTTTATGACCAGCACCTGTAGACCAACCAACCTGAGCGAGTCCGTCTGAGCCATGCAGGCCCTTATTTCTCCGTGTAGAGGATGAGTATTGTCGTGATGTTGTCCCCTTCCTGTCAAAGTCCTGCTCCTTTCTAAACCAAGCTGCATATATGAAGCGATGTGGGTCTTTTATTATAATATTTAAAGATCTTAGCAATTCCGCCGCAAATGGTCAAAAGGCTATTTGAAACATCAAACCCTTTAATGTAATGAAATGGTTGTAAACATCAACAGTTTTCTCCTAGGCAGCGTATGCCTGACGTCCAACACTGGGATATGCTGAACTTTGTATATGCTTTTTCAATTTTGGGCGTATACATAGAGTATTCACAACAAGTCCAGAGCATATGTGCAACGACAGCCTAACTTATGTACAACGCACGGCAGTGTCATGCCCATAAAAAACTGCATAAGCCAGTGTCCTGAGGAAAGCAGCAATGCGACAGGAGGCGACCGGACTGCATAAAAACATGTATTTGATCGCGTTGTTAACCTAACTGTTTACAGGCCCGCCCAAAAAAGAAGAATAAATAAAAAGAAAAAAGAAAGAGGGTTTGCAGTCGCAGCAGATTCAGCGTCATGTGTGCTAGGTAGTTTGTTGGTCGTGTGCGTGAAGGCAGGGAGGATTCATCACACTCACCTCGTCTCTCACCCTATGATGGGGATGAAGTCTGGAGGAAGTTCCTTCTGTGAACCCCCTTTTATACCAGAACGCCGCCATTAAACAGTAGCTGTAAGTTAGAAACACGTTCAGTGGTCGTCTGGAACACGTCAAATACGTTGATATGCGTTGGAGATTAGTTCTTGATAAGTTACGCATAATGTATGAACAAGTTACTCATAGGTTTTGGATAAGCTGGACACTGCGACTTATGAGTTACTTACAATTAACGTATGTCAACGATCAAATAACTTACCTATAACTTATGGCCCTCGTATGAGCGTAAGCTGGTATACGTGGGGAAATTTTGAGCATGGTTAAAGTTTCTCAATGTACTCGCCGTATGTCGACGTGCGCCATACGGCTCATAACTTATGCTCATAACTTATACAAAACGTATCCAACGTATGCCAGCGCTTTGGCCAGATTGTCCGTACGTCAGCCATGCGCTGGTCTAAATCGTCAAGGTGTGACAGGGGCTTTACATTTCGAGAGATGCAGCATTTAAACTGGCTAGAAATTAGAATCAATGTTCCCTTATTCATTTTTTTTCCCAGTTTGTTTTTGAGCTCTTGTTCTGTTCATTTTATTCTAAAGTAGTAAATGTGCTCTTTTGCTCCAACGCTGAAAGAAAAGTCTGTTTTATTCAATATTACAAAAAAGAAGCAATGAAGTAGCTTTGACTAGGAGAACCAGGAAAGAAAACGGCTTGATTCAGGAATAAGCAAGATGTTGATGATGTAAAGTAAATGTTATGCAGACATAAATAATAAAATGTTGATAGAAAATACATTAAAAAAACGGACAATTTGGAAATATGGCCAACAGAACAATCTGTCTTCCATTTTTAACAATCTGCTACTACAAAAGCAGCTAATGTATCTTACAGTTACACGCTCTATTTAAGACAACTGAGATCTGATTACAGTTAGTGCTAACTTTCTTTGAATACATAATAATAATAGTTTATACTCTTAAAACATGGCTTGAAAAAAAAAACAATTTGGAAAAGTGTTGATTTAAGATGGATGTAGATGATTTTAAATACAGGTTTTGTCACCATCTTGGCGGCTTTGAATTGTCTATTTAATGCAGACATACGGTATAAGGTGTATTACAAGTTCAAGCTGATGTTAAATTATATAATTTTCTTCTGCAGATAATTTATGGATTAAAACAACCCTCTGAATCTATTATTTATCATTTGGGTGCCATGATGACAAACCTGACATAGGTGTAATGAATGCATCTGTGAAACTCAAACTTTCCACCCAGCAGTTAAGTTTAAGCCGCTGTTTGCTCGACCTGAATACGTGTTTAATTTAACTGGATGCCCTCTTTATTTATTGCATCTCTCCAGCTTTTATCTCTGCTGGCTTTACTTCCCTTTTTGTCAGTTTTCATCACTGCTGTTTTCACTGATGGTGTTTGCTGCAGAACACAATTTAAAAGGGTGTTTGTTCTATTTTTATTTTTTCCTGGACATATTTTGTTAAATCAAGGCATTTATACCTTTGGTCTCTGGTTGCTTATTTTCTTTAATGTTGGGCAGTTTTCTGTATGTTGATAAAAGAATAATATTACTTCTAATTTCAACACTTTCTTTGTACCCAAAACTTAAAGCAGGTATTTATTTGAGATGCGTATTAAATGGTAAAGAAAAAAAATATGGCTCACATACGATCATAAAAATATAAGAGGATCTTTACATTTTCATTACTTTCTTTCCAAATAAAGTTTTCTGATTTTATGTTGTTTTTCCACCTAATTCTGACTCACTATTTGAATCTTCCTACTGAAATTGACTCTTTGGATCAAAGTTTCTGCAGAGTTCTTATCGAATTTGATTCTAGGAGAGAGAAAAAAGCAGAAAGATCTCATTCATTTCCAATGTCATTGTGTTCATGACATGAAAACAAACCAAACACATTAACATTCAGATCACGCAGCAGGATGCAGAAGATTCAGTGCATTCCCCAAACTGAAATATTCCTGTAAACCCAGGTCATCAATCAGCCTGCAGAGACTCGCACATCTAGGAGGGAGCTGCGTTGTTGCATCTTTGAGCCTCCTTCACTGTTATCAAGGCCCCAATCAGTGAAAGAAGTTTGAGATATTGAATAGGGCTGTGCAATTAATTGCAATTGCAATATAAATGCTATTTAACAAAACGCAAGTTTCAAACCACAGAGGCACTTAACTTTGATTACATTACATTTAACAACATTAAGGCACTGAATTTCTCATTCCAGCCCTTTAGGTGCCAGTAATACACCTTGTGGTCGGAAAAAAATGGGTTTGCAAGGACACAGAAGGAAGGAAAAATACTAGCTAGCAAGT